CTGGTTTGCCACAAAGCCGCGTTTTGCTTTGCTTTTGCTTTGCCTTCTTTTTCAGTCTTTCTTTTTTTTTTTTTGCTTTTGAGATTTTTATTTTGAGTCACTTCCAAGACGACGAAATTCTTTCGGGGGTTGAAGAAGCCCAGAAAGAAAGCGCAAAAAAAAAAGGACCCCAAATGCTTGGAAAAAACTCAAGAAGCTCTCGCCACCTCTCTTTCGCTCTGCTTCCAGTTCCAGTTCCGTTGCAAAGGGGGAGAGAGTGAGTCTCGCTTTCGCTTTCGCCTTGGCACCGGGAAAGGTGCGCGCAAAAAGGAAGGAAGACAAAAAACAAAAAACAAAAAAAATGAGCGCATTTTTCTAAGGCAGCGCCAGAGCTGCTCCCCAAGGTGGGTCCTGGCCCGGTCCTGCGGAGGCACCAACTTGAAGACGTCGTTGCGGCCTTTCTGCTTGTGGTGTAGTTGACGTTTTCTGGTCTCGGTTTTCGGTTTTAGGTTTTCGGTTTTCGGTTTACTTTGCTTGCCGGCTCTCTGCCTGCCGCTGCTCTCGCGGACTGCGCGGCCGGCGTTGACGTTGACGCCCGCTGCCCGGTGGAAAACCGCTGCTACTGGTTCTCGCGGTAAATGTTAAGCCAAAAAAAAAAAAAAAAGAGGAGAAGCAACAGCAGCAGCAACAACAGCAGCCAGGCAGCCAGACTGAGAACAAAAAAATTCCAAAAAGGAACAACAGTAAAGACAGCCTAATGGAAACTTCCAGCCTAAGACGCTTGGAAGTGGCAATACATATGAGGGTCCTTGGAAGAGCAACTTTAAGCAAAATAATTTATAAATATATTTTTTAAGGAAATTTTCTTAAATGTACGATTTTTAATGCTTACAAAAACTTCTGAAAATATTAAATAAAATCAAGTATTGATACAAAGTTTGAAATGAAAAGGATTCTTGTGTGCAGTTGCTGAAAGGGAGGCTATTTAAAATGATCTTCCTTTAGTTTTTGTATATTCTTTTCTCTTTGAGAGGTTTTAGTATAATTTTGAATAGTTATTTTTACCCCTTAGTTTCTTTTTCTTTTCTTTAAAATATATGTTAGTATCCTTTACTTATATTTTTTCTTACCTTTTATAAGCTTCCTTGGACTATTCCTATATGCAATCGCTGAAAAGTAGGCTAAGATATACGATATAACTTAGCTTTTTAGGCTCCTTTTCTACAATCCAAGTACCTCTCCGGGTTATAACGCTCTTCCAGCAACCGCCACTAAGTAGGCTACATTATTTGAATATTTTTAATTTGGAGTACAGTTCACCTTGCGGTAGGCTTAACTGTATATACCCCAAGCAGTTGAGTAAGCAGTCGACATAGACGTTCCTCTGGGAAGGCGGGGTAACGTCACAGGCTGGCCCAGAAGGGGGTTTGGGGGTGGTCCTTGGTCCTGGGTCCTTGTTTCTTTCGTTTCGTTTGTGATTATGATGAGGCGTCGCCTTCGCTTCTTCGTGTGACTTCGTTACTTTTCTGGATGCTGTTCTGTGCTTCGGTCTATTCAGTGGGGTTTGGGGGGGTGTTGGGTATTGGAAGTGGGGGCAGGGTGGCACTCGCTGTCGGCGTCGCTGTCGCGGCTGGCGTCGCTGCCGACGTCGGTGGTCGGCGTTGCCAACCGCTCGTAGTGGTCGCGTTCATGGTTACCGCAAAAAAATAGTTTAATATCTCCGTGTCGTTTGATTCGATCGCCAGTCTCTGCCCCCGTATCCAGAATCTATATCTATATCTGTGCGTGTGTGTGTGTGTGTGCGTGTGTGTGCTAGTGTGCCAGTGTCCAAGCAAAATTACCATATAATTAGTAAGGCTCCAAAATTGAAAGAGAGTCCATCAAAATCTATAATTTTTTTCAAGTGGTTGTGGTGCAAATATAATTCAAGATTTAATTTTAATCTAATAACTTCAACTTCTGTTATTGGCTTCTGCTGGAAGAAAGCAAGTGGAAAGTAAAAGGAAATTTATATAGAAAAGTAAGTGGAATCCGTACAGCATTGAAAAGTGTCTAAGTGATCGACAACAAAGTTAGGAAACCCATTTAAAGCGACGATCAACGAGCGAAGCTTTAAAGTAGCTCGAAAACATCCAAGGATTATAGTTTAAAAAATTTTAAATTGAAGGAAAATGTCACATATAATCAACAAGTAAACAAGTGTAACGATCCTCAAAAACATTGTCTGCAAACTAAAGAAATGTTTAACATACAAAATGGTTAAAAAATGATTAAAATAAGGAATTTAATATTAGAGGATCGTTTAATAAAGATTATAATATATAATGTATATAATAAATAGTTAAAAAAAAGATGTACAGGCAGCTTTTGTTTATGTCTGAAAATTTTAATAAAATGTTATTCAAAGTTTATTTTTTACTGCGTCTCTTGTTATTATTTATTAAGCTTTCATTGTCTAAAATTATCAACGATTTTTGTTATTTATAATATAATACTAATTATTTATATTTTATCCTATACTTTTACATTTAAATATTTTAATTAATTATACTTTTTTCTTATCCTTTTAAATTTTTTAATTATTTATATTTTACACTATTTTTTATTATTATTTGTAATCAATTTATTAGACCAATTTAATTTTATTTCTTATTTTTTAATTTTTTAAAATTATTTATATTATACCCTCTTTTCTATTAGTTTTTGTGTTCAATTTAATAGACATATTTAATCCTTCTTTACCATTTTTTTAAATAAATTTCACCACCGGTTGATCTAATTGTCTGACTATTCCCGCAACCAACTTGTTTGTTAACCAATTATATGGACCAACTTCTGGTGAACCCCACCACCGATCCTGCCTGCCTCTTATCTGTGGCCACATATGTCGCCACACAGTCGCTCGGAAAACTCATTTGGGCATGGAAAAAAATGTATATAAATAAATACACGTACACCATTGTATTCATTTCAACGCGGAAGTTGTAAAAAAAAAAAAAATAATAATAATAAGTATACGCAGTGTGGACCATGTGCATGGTGATATATACATATAGATTTACACAACACGCGCCAGTCTACAAAAACCAGAAGCAAATCAGAGAGTTTCTAATTAGCCAAAACTTTTAAATACTCTTTAATTATTTTACTTATTGATGGGAGAAAGGTTGGTAGAGCAATTAATATTCACAAATTAATTTTCGATTGCTATCATTCAAATTCCATTTGAAATTAATGAAATTCTAAAGAGTTCAAGCCTCTTAAATCTTGAATATTAGTTGGGTCTTAGTTTTAAATATCTCTTCTATAAATTTTTCCACAAGATAAGGGTTTTCTTCACTTTTTTATACACACAAAATATTCTTACCACTAATTATCCTTTTCTTTTATTTTAATTTTCTAAAAACTTATCGAAAAACCTATAAAACTCTAATAAAACTCAAGAATTAAACTCTACACTCTGCTCTTTTTTAAAGGCATCCTGAAAATAGTGAGAAAAATGTCAAAATGAAAACAAAACGCTACTGTGTCCGGCAAATGATTCTTATTTAAACAAAAGCCAGTTCATTGTTGATTTTGTTGGTGGCGAAACGCAAGCCAAACGGCAACATATGGCGCTTTCGATAATTTTTCCACTTTTTTAACTCCACCATTTGATGAACATGAACACAGGCCCCGGCACAGATGCAATCCATGCCATCTTAGCTGAGTTCTTTTTTTTCCTCGTTTTTTTGTTTTTGTTCCCGAATTCCCCTCATTATTGGTTATGATTTTTTAATATTTAATTGAGCTGCACTCGCCGACGTCGGCTTAAATGCAAATTGTGCGCAAAGGTGTGCGGTTCAGCTCGATTCGATACGAATTCCGATTGGATACAGGCCACCATATAGTAGCAGCTTCAGAATCCCTGAATCTGAAACTGAAACTGAACCAGCTTTTGTCCAGGCCCCGGGGTAAAAGTGCAATCATAATTGAGCTGTTGTTGGTGACGGCAAAAAAATACAAAAACAAAAAAAAATAATAATAAGTGCAGCAAATGTGTTAAAACAAAGACGAAAAGCAACAAAAGCGTTGAAAATCCGTACAAAAATTAAGTAGCGAGATATGCAGTGCGGGTGATTCCAAAATCGGATTTCTAAAAAATAAAAACAAAGCTAAATAATTGGTTTTTCGTTGCTAGAAGTGTGTGAAAAAATGCTGGACATCTTAAATAATATTATACAAATCATTATAATAATAAAATTAAATTTTAAAATTCTAAACGTGCCGAATTCATTGTAAATTTGTTTTGATTTTTACAACGTACATATGTGTTCTTTCTCTTCTAGTGCTTAATTGCAGGCTTTGCTTAACTTAATTTTAATTTTTTTAAATTTTAAATTAGAAGGTTTAGCTACCCGAAAATCACTACTTTTAAGATTTTAAGAAAAAAAGAGAGTAAGAAATCTTAATATTTAAATTATTATCCAATTAAATTTGTTAATATTTAATAATAGTTTCCCTTATTTGTGGTTAAAAGATTGAAATATTTACTTAAAATACCAATATATTTTTTATCAGTTTATCTTTTATCATTTTAAAATTATACATAAATTAAACAATAATTATTTTTAAAATATAATATTTTAAAATTCAATAGACTTCTTAAAATTAAACCTTTTTCTTTATTTAATATTTTTTAAAAATCTCTTGGGCTTTTGGCTTTTCCCTGGAGAATTCCCTGAGAATTCATTTGACAGAACAGCAATACAACAATAACCCCATTTTCTCTCTCTACAATCCAATGAATTTCATTCGCAGTCCACATTCATTTTCCAGATTTACCAAATGAGCTGACAATGATCGGATTGAATGCGTCGACTCTTTGAGGCAGACATTGGGAATCAAACCGAAAACCGAAAGCCGAAGGCTGAAAACCAAAAACCGAGCCAAAACCCGGCGGCAACATACGGAATACGGGAAAACAGGACTACCGACTACCGACTACGGAATACGGAATATTGAATACCGGTAGCCGGTAGCCAAAGAGAGGCCCTGAATACCTGAATCTGGCGCCAAGATAGCAGCAGCTGCAATAATGCACATTTCTGCTGAGGTCAGTTCGACCACCTCAAATCAAATACAGCAGCAACATCAGACGCAGCAGCAGCAGCAACAGCAGCAGCAACATCAGCAAACAACAACGACCGCAACGAAGCGACGCAATGCTGAGTCCTCATCCTCCTCCTCCACCAACAGTAGCAACAACAACAACAATACCAGCACCACCAATAACAACAACAACAACAGCACTACGATCAACAACAATAATAATACAAATAATAATAACAATAATAATAATAACAATGTTAAAACAAAGCCCGTGGACACGAGTCCTTATCTGACGCCGGAGAATCTCATTGAGCGCACCGTCGATGTCCTGCTCGCCGAACATCCTGGCGAGCTGGTCAAGACGGGATCACCTCATGTGGTGGGTACTAGGCCAGTGTTATTTATATATTCAAATATTTTTAGATGAAGAATAACACAAAAAGGGCTCAGATAAAATTAAAAAAGAGTGCCCAAAAGTATGCTATGATACCCAATACTTCGTTGCATACTTTTGGTCATTTTGATAATTGATTTCAGACCAAATTCAAAGCTTTTATAGTTTTAAAAATAATTATTAATGTTTAAAATCAAATAAAAGAGTGCCTAAAAGTATGCTATGATGCACTTGAGGCTGTACAATATTTTATTGCATACTTTTAGACAGTTTGGTAGTTGATCTTAAACCCAAATACAAAACTTTAATGGTTTTAAAAATAAAAATAAAAATGTTTAACCACTTCTAGGTCTGCACCACCTTGCCCACGCACTGGCGTTCAAACAAGACCCTACCGATCGCCTTCAAGGTCCTGGCCTTGGGCGAGGTCATGGATGGCACCATAGTGACCATACGGGCGGGAAATGATGAGAACTTTTGCGGTGAATTAAGAAACTGCACGGCCGTAATGAAGAACCAGGTGGCCAAGTTTAATGATCTGCGATTTGTGGGAAGAAGTGGAAGGGGTGAGTGAAACATATTTTTAATTCCTATTTTTTTGGTAAGAAATCTATTTAAATTTATATTTTATATTCCTTAATATTTCTTTTCATTTTGAATCATTTTTCTTTCTATTTTTTTTACGACTTTTGATCATTAGCATTTGGCATATGGTTCGCGTTGATTGCTTTCTTCCGGTACGACCATTATCCTTGCATATTGTCACACCCCAAAATGCTCAAACAAAAAATGGAAAACGGAATTTACACACACAACCGAATTTGCACACACACACACTTTTTCGTATATAAAAAAAATGAAAGACACATCAAAAGCCGCTGACAAACTTTGGCCAGAGTCGCCGCCGTCTCAGTCTCAGTCTCCGTTGCCGTTGCCGTTTTTGTCCTTTTTGGTCCTGGCATCAACAAATAAGATAAGTAGTCTGTAGTTAATTTTTATATGTCTATTGGGGACGTCCAGGGGCGAGGTCCTGGCAAGCCGTAGACAGCAGCAGCCAGTCCTGACAGTTGTCAATTTTGGCGACGGCAACGGTTCTGCTTTTTTTTTTTCGGCCGCCGTTATTGCTGTTCATTTCGTCAATTTATCACGAACGCAATTTAAAAATCAAATCGAGGGTGACAGACAACATACTGTGATAGAATTTTCCTTCTATTTTCCTTCCCATTTTGATTTTTTCTCTCTTTTTTTTTTGGCTTGGCAAATTAAATCAGCGTAACTGTTTATTCAAATCTCCGGCAACTTTTACTTTTGCCGGGGGACGTTCGGTGTTTTCTTCCAAGTTATTTTTCTTTTGGGTCCAGACTTTTCCGCGGGAAGGTTTCCATTCGGGGCATGTCTAAGTGCGCGCTTTGCCGCGGCATTTGACAATTTGCTCATTAAGTTTGTCTGACCCTCGAACCCAACACAAAAAAAATATATATATATATATTTGGGGGGTTGGGGAAATGGGGGCGTAAATGAGACAGGGGCATTGGTGGGTTAAGGTCCTCTGGGGCACCCTCATCAGCAGCATCTTTCAGCCATCCTCCATCCATCCAACCATCCATCCATCCATCTGTCCGTTCGTCGTTCCTTCCTTCCACTTGTTTGACATTTTTAAACGTTTCAAGTGGCAAATAATTCCTTGGGATTTACTTTGGCAAATCTTTTTTAAACATTTGATTACACTGAGAGAAACAAATAGAAATAAACAAAGAGATGACAACAAAAATATGTTTAAAAATATATTTAAAAATAAATACTTTCTAAAACAAAAAGGGAAAATAAAATAAGTAATAAATATAAAACAAAAATGTGTTTTAAAATATATTTAAAAACAAATTCTTTCTAAAACAAAGAGAGGAAAATTGATTAATTAATATTTTTATAAAATAATATAAATAATAAATCTAAAAAATTACTAAGAAAGATAATAAGCAATAAATTTGAAATTTAAAAACAAATAAAGAGGGGAATTTTCACCCCAATAAATATAAAAAATTACTTAAGAAGATAATACACCATACATTTTTTATTTATTTTTAACTTTATACTTATTCAAATAACTATCATTTTCTAACAGTGTCTTATTTGAAGTCCTTACTTTTTTTCTTACTAATTATCGAGAGAGAAAAACCGTAAAAAAATACAAGGAATACGAGGGGAAAAGGGCGTGACAATTGCCAAGAGGCAGCATCAAATGTTCTACAAATGGATTTAAATTATTTAACCCAAGCCGTAACCCTTTCCCCCCACACTTTTTTTTTCTGTTTTTGTTTGGAGAACCCTTCTCGGTTTAATGCGCTACAAAAGGATTACGTGGGTCCCGGGTCCCTCTACGTATCCTGGCGTATTATTTGCTTAATTTCAATTAGCAAACAAATGCAAATCCCTTGTACTAGGAAAAAGTAATGCAAAGCCTGCAATCGTAATTGTTGTTTTTTGTTGCTACAACTAATGCCACTTGCAGTTGTCAAGGCTGCAGACGCTTCAGCTTCTCCCCAGCTTTGGCATGCAGCAAATTTATGAGGGCTGCCAGGGCCCCCGTGTGCCACCCCATGGGTTAAAAATGGCCGGGCCAGTGGGTGTCAATAAAGAGGGGAATGATGGCAGGTGGCTTTAACGAGGACAGCTCTATTGATAGTCCTGCAAAGAGTCTTCTATTAAAGCAATTGTAGGGAAGGATGATATGAAAGTCAAACGAGTTTATAAAACACAAGATAGGCTGCCTGAAAGTAGGCAATGGAAATGAGTTCACTAAGAAGATAATTCAAGAACTTGCTTACAAACTTCAAGAAACCATAACAATACTCCCCTTAAGAAAATGTATTTATTTATATTTAATATATGCAGTGTCCACCCTCGATGGTTCGTAGTTGTTTTCGAGCCTCGTGCGTGATGCTTTCGTAATTTTAATGATATGGACTATGCCGCGAATGCCTGATGTGGATAGGGAATGGTGAGGATTATCCGGGGAAGAGGGCAACGCAATTAGATAAAATGGCGGCATCAGCAGCTGCAATTGCAATTGCAATAGCGACACTGATAAAAAATATAGGAAAGGCTTAAAATTAACAGAAAACTCGAAAGATCTGGCAAAGGTATTTAAAACATAAAAAGAAGACGGGCACACTATTCAGACACGACAAATCGTGTTAAAACTTTAAAGGAAAAGTAAAGCAAGGATATAAACTGTGAATATTGAAATTATAAATATTATTTAGGTCACAAGGAGTTGCCTTAAGTAGAACTCATATTAAATATTTATATAAAATGCACACTTTTTTATAATATTAATCAAAGTTTTGATAGTTTTATCGATAACCAAAGCTTTTGGTGAAAAATTTCACGATTAAATATATAAAAGATATATTAAATGAAATAATTTACATTATAAATATTAGTTAAAAAACAAACAGTTGCAAAATACGAATTTCTTTAAAAAAAATTGTAAATTAAAAGTAAAATTTTTGATAAAATTTATCGATATTTTGTAATTTCAGATTTTTTATAATTTTTTCGAGTGCCACAGTGGAAATGGAACTGCAGTTGCATTCAAGCGGAAACTGCATAATCCACACTCTCACACATACTGGCACACACACACACCCGCACACTCACACACATGGGAAATGCATTTGGTTGTTGTCTACTAATGAATTACAATCACTTGGATGTCGAAAGGGGTTGGGAAACGGGGCCTAAAATGGAGCACACGGCCTGAAAGAGATTGCTTGGAGATGATGCTGATGATGATGAGTCCCATCCGTGGGGGTTAGGGTTTAAGGAGGGTTAAGGAGGGGTCAGGTCCGGCACATGTGTAATTATTGTTGCTATTGCCATATGCATGTAAATGAGAGCGCCGGCCAATGCATCGCATTGATGTGCAAGCACTTTGAAGTGCATTACCAAAGTGCAACGGCACAACATCTAAGCTGCAGCTGCATTTGCGATAATATGTTAATTAACTGCAAGTGATTATGGCCCGCTTATTGCTCAGTTTAAATGCCTGAAAACATTCCGCAAAAGCAAATGGAGTGAAATCTTTTCTTATTGTTTTGGGGATTTTCAGCACGGAAACACATATATCGAGGGGAAAAAGTCGATTTATCGAAATATCGAAATGTAAATATCGAAAAGTATTGCTTTTAAGATTTGTATATCGTAATTTCGAAAATTATGCGACAAGTTTTATATAATTTATTTAATTTTCTGTTTTTGGATATGTATTTATTTTATATATCGCACTTATATCGTTACGTTTACATATAGATTCATGTATGTATCGATTTCTGACTCAAATATCGATAACGTTTCAATTTTTCGATATTTTCTGACAATGACTTTTTTAGGTTTTACTCTTTGGCAATACAAAGTTTATGTTAAAATTATAAAAGTTATAACTAAAATAATTTATCTAATAAAATTAAAGCCAAATTAAATGCCAGGCAAAACCCTAACAAAAATCAAACAAATTCTTGACTTCCAGTGAATATTCCAGTGGCTCTTCGGTTCTCCCTTTAAGTGCTGCCTGAGTTCCTTAGTTCCTCCTGAACTCCCGAGTTGCCCAGTTCCGTTGCCGTTTCAGTTTCTTTAAAGCTTCCGGCAGCCATTAAACTTCATTAAAAATTTAATATGCGCTTCCCCTTCCCCCCCCCACCCCCGACTCCCATAGGAACTGGGGGGATTAAGGGGCGTGGCTTTTTAGCTAGGGCAACAAACCCTTTTTCCTTTTTCCAACTGACACGCATCAATTTACAGCTGCTGTGTGTGTGTGTGCTCAAGACTTTTAATGAGATGAAGGTGAAATTTCATTATGAAGTTTGGCTCACTAAGATGAAGCCCAAAAACGCCACCCATTTTTTTCCAAGGGGCGGGGAAGGGGGTGTGGAGTAGATGGAGGTTGGGGGTGTGGTTGCGAGCGGTAACCTCGTTAAGCTTAATTAATAGCAGCAATGTGATAAACACCCAGCCGACAGGCAAAATGGTAGCACTAAGGCCGCCGCCATTTTGAGCCTCCAGCAAAGACACCGACAAAAAAAATATATTTTATAAATATTATAAATATATTTAGAAGGCTGGAACCTTAAAGAAATTTTAATAAAAACGATTATATGTTTGTTTTACCTAAAGGAAAATATTTTAAGTTATTCTAAAACCTTTTAAAATATTTTTTTTATATTTTTTAAAAACCAATTTAAATTTAAAATTATTTAAATAGTACGTAAGACCTTCAGGCATCTCTCTCTCTTCTCTCTCTCTCTCTCTCTCTCGGTGCACATTGAAAACTTTTGCCCAGGTGTCAACTACACTCCCAAAAGGCAACAAAAAATAACAACAACAAGGACCACCAACGGTACAAGTTCGTTTTTTAATGAGCCCAACGTCAACGTTGCCAACTCGCTGCTGCCACTGACATTTGACAGATTTCCTAGGAGCTGAGCTCTGAGCTGAGCGCTTAGATACTTTTCCGGATGCGGATGGTCTTTGGGGGGGTTGAGGAGGTGTGGCATTTTCTACTTATTTA